AACCCATAAACCCCCAGAGGGTGGCAGATCAGCCACTCCTAGCCGGTGGCCCCATTCTGTAGTTTTTTTCCCTAAAGTTCTCTCTTCAATACAGGGCTAGGCATACTCATTTCCATAGCCATACAGCATTGCTAAGATACAAAGCAGGCAAAGGATGTCTGAGCAAACATGAAGACATTTCTAGCAGAATCTCTGTACCTACTCTGACAGCACCTAACAGGCACTCTCTTGCTTAATTGTTAATTGAAAACCTCAAAATAACTAGCAGGCCCAAGTTTTCCTAGGAGACATCATGTGAAAGGGAAACTGGGCTAAGTTTAACGTATCACCTGCCATCTTATTTAGCATCCACAGAGCTGTTAGTGTGTCTAACTCGTTGGTAGAAACAGTGTTCAATGTTTTTATTCTGAGCCAACAGCAGAGGATAGCAAAGAGACACTAATTTAGACTGATAAATGCATAGAGTGAAATTGAGATATTTTCACTTACAAAGTCAAATTCTCTTATACTTGACCCTAAGTCCTCAGAAATATTACCATTCCTTAGATTTGCCCATCTTTAGCTTGGGACAGGGGTTTGTCCCTGACCATTTACTTCTGTTCAACAAGTACATCTCACCCATAATCTCAAAGAAAGCATTTTTTGGAGTGTATATCTAGAAAGTAGTTTGTGGCCTGGGTATTCTCTTGAGATCAAATTAGAAGGGAATAAACAAAGCAATTTTGAATCTATCAACTAACCACACTAGGGGCAGTTGACTTGGCCTAACCATGAGATGCTCTCATGAGGCAAGTATGCATATTCTGAGGGTCATTATAGACCTCATGGCCCTGTAATGCATTTAATATCTAATAGGCTAGCATGCAAATGTGGCTTTCCAAAGGAAAGTCCCAATGCAAATTGAAGCTAATTGTAACCTGATATAGGTAACAGCCTCCTCTAGATCACTAGTCCCTGTATTGAGAAGAACGTGATACGCAGTCTGTGAGAAATAGAAAATGGCCCAGCTATTTACTATGAATTATCTATATTTCGATGTTGTGTGCCAAGTTTAAGGGTTTTTGGATCAAAACCTGAAGCCGTATGGCTGGTTCCTGCTCTACTCTAGTTTTGTCATATCAGTTTGCTACCCCTCCTGGAAAAGAAGGGGCTCACAAGGACTTTTCACCTCTTTCAGGACTATAACAAAAATTCAAGTCAAGCACATGGTTATTCAATTTTTATAAAAGGAACAAACACTTCAATCAGGGCTGTATTTCTTTTGATGATGGAGGCTGCCACCTTTGCTAGCTATGCTGAGTGTTTAAATATGCACTTTGTTGTACTGAAGTCTTAACGTTTGACAGCTCTACTGAACTTGGCCTTGATATGCATGCTTTAGGTATCTGAAGACGTGAGCACTAAAAGCAAAAGTTAAATAACATAGGACAAGCACTACAGGTAAGTGCCAAGTGAAGGGAGCAAGAGGATGATTGAGGGGATAAAACTGTTTCAAGCAATTCTCATTGCCTACAAGGGCTTAACTGGTTACCTGGTTTTTCTTCCTTTTAAAAAAATGGTGCATAATTACACATAAGGGTGAGATTTATTGTTTTATATTTTTAACAATATAATTTCTAGTGACTTGTTTTTAAAGTTCCTGTTAACATGTCCCATTCTTGGACTTAAGCAAAGATTACCATCATAATTGTCATTATTGTACCTTCTCTCAGTTCTACCTAGACAGGTCAGGTTTCTTTTCTCATTGTCTCAGTTTTTTTTTTTTTTTTTTTACCTTTAGGTCTATTAATACTGCCAATTTTATATCAACCCACTCCTCACAATAAAAGAAGTTTCTTCCTATTCTTCTGCTTGTTGCTAACCATATCTGAATAGCTCTCACAAAACTTAATTCTTCTAGACTCTAGCCTTGAAGAATGTATGGTACCCCAGATCTTAATCTATATCTAGGTGGGAGGAAAATGTCCTAGAACCCCCAGGTAATTTGCACCCAAGTATACTAACTTCTCTTGCTGTCTTCACTTAAGCTCTTTGCCCTGAGTTTTGTGCATACCTGCCCTGTCCTACAGTATTCTGGACCAGCAAAGTAAGTGTGTGCTGGGGGGCAGGAGAGTTGGAGAGAAATGGTAAGAACAAATGACCAAGGGGAGAAAGTCAGTTCACAAGTCCTGGGACTTTGAACTTAAGACAGGAGCCAGTCTGGGTTGGCTTGGGATCAATATCTGCCTCAGCCAAATTTGCTCCAGTTCAGAAAGGAATTACTTCTTTCCTTTTGACAAATTTAGGTTTGCATGGGTATCTTTTCCACTGTACACGGCATGTCCCTTATTTCACATGTAATAAAGGGATCCTCACCTATCTAATTCAAGACCAACATATGGCTTTGACAAATTCATTTCCACACTTTAGGTGTATTCCTCGCATTCCACAGGGAAACATTAACCTCTAAAGCAAAGTTAGTATTTCTTAAAATCCAAGAATATAAAGGGATGTGAAGCAAAAAAAAAAAAAAA